TAAAGCAAATTGTAGAGTCATTAGCAGAATTAAAAGAACAATGGCAAAATCATAGTTAAAAGAATTCATTAGCGTCTTCAAATGTCTTAATTACAAGTTTGTATAAAATAAATTCATTAGGTTTTTTAAATTATAATAGCGGCCTTTCTAAGTCTAGAAATAAAGTCATATTTAAAAGGAACTCTAATAACTAATTAGTATGTTCCGGACTGATATCTACAACTATCAGTTTCTTAGGGTCGTATTCTAGAACTCTATTCAATGCTCAAGTCAGGATTGCACTGGCAACACAAGCACTGGAAATACGACCCTAATGGCAGGGACTTGAGTATTTTCGAGTGCTTAAAACCATACTCAAATCCTGACTTGAGCATTGAGTAGAGTTCTAGAATACGACCCTTAGTTTCTTAACGTTGAGCGACATCTAGCCGCCAAAAAAGGAATTTCAGTACCTACGTATGGATATGGTCCACATTTAGTTCACGTAATATCAAATGTACTGATTCGACCGATTTGTAATAAGCTAATAAAAGATTAACTACTACTTCACAAAAAAAACTAGTCGATAATTTCTTCAAAATGCCACGCGAGAAAATGGTAAAACTGACAAAAAAGTGCCCAAAACCTGGGATAGATGCCACGTTTGTGTCCGAGTTACCAATGCAGTATGTGGGATGTTATTAATTAACTCAGTTTTTTTTTATATCGCTTAACTTCATGCCTTTTGAATGGTCAAACAAGAAAAAGGAAATTATTTTGTATGCTGCTATGGACCAGATACAAAATAATTTCCTCTGAACTTTCGAACCGACGGCTCCATTCGGCTTCTATTGACTCTGTTTAAGATTTATATAGTTTATTTTTAACCGACTTCAAAAAGGAGGAAGTTCTCAATTCGACTGTGTTTTTTTATGTATATTACGCGATAACTCCGCCATTGGTGGAAAGTGGGTACCTCAGAAGTGGTCCCATTTAAATTTGAAGAAAATATTCTCTATACTCAGAATAGTAAAACCAAAGCAAAATTTGTTCAGGAATTTAAACACAAACATATTTTCACATACTTTTCATAAACAGACGCATACAAATTATGTGATCAGAAATTAATATGGGAGTTTGCCATTCTCCTTTGAAACGTTAACAACTTCAACATAAAATATGACCAACCAGCAGCAGAGCTTAACTGCCTCTGTGGCCGAACGGTTGAGAAACGTCCAGCAACTATGCTATAGTTGCTGGACTGCCACGCAGAGGCCCGGGTTCGTTTCCCGGACCGAGAGAAATATTTGTATGGTCTATATATATTTCTCTCGTAAGTTTGGCATGGCACCCATGGCACCCGCAATACAGGGTTTCCCTAGTGCCGGAGCTATGAGTGTGTGCGTTATTATTATTATTTGAAGGTGAACAGCCAGTCGTTGGCTAAATTCGTAAACCTTGTATCTCCATTAATGTGAACTTTTGAGTAGGCATAAAATAAAACAAAAATACTAGAAATGCTTTTATATGACAATTTATTATTATACCTTCATATATATATAACCATTTGCCTATAAATTATATTTTAAGCTTTTCTTGCCCGATATTGAGCTTGAAGAGAAAAAAAGAGTATTTGTCCAAAAACGACGTTACGAGGTTTTCAAATTTAGCCGTACTTAGGCAGTACAAAATTGTTCTTCCCTCTAGCTCTGCTTACATATCGATACTTAGGGGAAGAAAGGGCGTAAAGGCTGATTTTTATTAAAAATGAGATAATGATATGGTTAAGTAAAATATTCAAACCCTTTCGAATAAACGTCCAAGATTTTATTATTTATCAAAATATTACATATCACGGAGAGTGTGCCTAGTCATTTCCATCAACGGAGGACTAGACATATGCTGGGGTTCCATCCCTATGTTATGAATATTCCAAAGATTCGCACGAAGCGTTACGCTTCCACATTTATTTGGCTAACGGGTAGGGGTGGAATTCCCTGCTTGCAGACTTATTCCTTGAACGGTATAACTTGGACCTTTTCAAAACGAGAGTATAAATAGGCGTTATTTACGTGTGCATGCTCCATCGATCACCGACTTCATCGTCACTTTCCATCAGGTGAGACGGAGACCATAGGCGCGCTTAGATTTAAAAAAAAATATCATTTTTACGTACACATAGATAAAAAAATGTTTATTTTACTCATCTTGTAAATTTCTATTTTGGCTTTTACGCTATCTTTCCCCGAATTATCGATATAATGACGACCGACATTCACACAATACAAATACATAGACAGCATCACATTATAATACACTTTAAACATGCTTCACTAAGATACATGATCACTTAAAGAACGTTTTTTACATAGTAACGTAGTCCTTGTGGCCTTGTTAAACTATTTTTAAGGACCAAATGACAGCATTAATACACGAATATCATATTTATCACATTTTTATGCCTAAAACGCAAATAAGATAACGAACAGAAAGAAAATAAAGAACAAGAAAAAGAATCGTGTTTACGGAAAAAAAATTAAATCATCCAAAGTTATGACTCGCTTAATGATTTAGTATAATTTATTAGGATGCGTGAAACAATGTTTTTGTTCACCTTATTCCATTCATGTACGTTTTATTAGATACCATAGCAATTTAAATCTTTACAAAGTATATGATGCTTAAGATGAGCAAGACTGATAAAGTCCGCTAAAAGAGTATCTCATAAATGAGTAGGGTCAAATAATACACAGAAAGAATTAATTAAAACATATCATGTGCAAGCTGCCAACAATCAAATAGTCAATTTTCAGAGTAAAGACAAAACAGGTGTAATGGATGTTGTTACTTACGTACATAATAAAAATCACATTGTATTTACGTGATAATAAGCAAGAATGTTTAGGTAAGATTTGCTAAAAAAATATCGTTAAAATATCAAAGTTGTGTATCACCAATTACTTCCACTTGAGGTTGTTGCTCCTCTATCACAGATAAACCTGTAAAAAAAATCATGTTAGCAAAATAAGAATAATGATAATGTGACAGAAATACTAATTACCTGGTTATGAGTACCAGAACAACAAAATTAAATTCGGAGGTTTTGCCCAGAACACCCAGACAAAATCGAACCCGAGCCCTCCTCACGAAACGCCCATGCTACCCGCTTAGAATCTAAGGTCTTCATCATCGGCAATGACATTTATGCAATTAATATTTTAATCTATGATTAGAATTCCACAAAGACAACCTAAAAGACAGTAAACTTGTAAAATCTGCATCACTTTATTCCCTCAAGTGGCTGCAGTACTTTCTTCCTCTGTGTACTAAATTTGTGCTTATTTTTCCCCTTCTGGACTATGGTAACGTCGCTTACCTTGATCTTTGAGAGGGCCTTCTTAATAAATTGGAGCGGCAGCAAAATCAGTCTATCAGATTTGTGTGTATTGATTGAGTTTTCAATCCAAACACATTTTCAAGTTTAGAGATGAGTTGAAGTTGTTGCCTATTCGTTTACGTAGGAATGCTCACATTTTATGCTTCCTTTATAAAATCCTTTTGCATCCCATGTTCCCCTAGCTATCGACGTGAGCGTTTTTAATACCGTCAGGCTATGGGTGACCGCTTGTGTTCCGGCACCAATTTGTCCCTCATCTTACCACAAACAGTTCACAAAAATATTCGGACTCGTTCACAGTGAATGCTGCTCGTATGTGGAACTTTCTCCCGATTGAGGTCAGACAGTCACCTTCGGGTTCGGTTCGGGCTTTTGAAGGTGACCTTTCTTGTCTTGGGATTGTTCAGACTCCTCAAATTAGAGCTAACGAAATATTTATTTACATTTCATATACATATTTATTTATAGTTTTATTTTATGCATTCATTTTACTACAGATTTCATTTGTATTAGTGTATCAACGTTACTAAGTATATGTGTATTCGTGTAACGTACATTACCATATAATACATTTATTTATCTGTGTATATATTGAATATGTAGCATTCAATGTCTTTATTTATTTATTTTTATTGCCAACCCAAAAACCAACTTTCCTCTAATTTTTATTATATTTTAAATTGTTTCTTAAAATTTGTAATTTACTTTGTGGTACAATAAAGTGTTTACATACATACATACATACATACATAAAGGTGACTTTACAAATACTCACGATATCATATATGAATCCAATGTCATGTCATATCGGTTAAATTCAGTTGGAATTGAACAATGGAATCATTCCCAGTCGACGGGTTCTCACAGACATCAATTCTAATAGACATTTATAATCGATTGGTATTACCGATTCTTTTATTCTTATCAACTAAACCAATAGATATTGATAGTTACATACATATAATGAAAAAATTATATAAACATACCTAATGCAAATAATTGTCGACCTGCAATTAACTTTGATCAGCTCAAATCCAACAACTCTGCCAGCGGATTCTATTTTTATTTTGACTTAGTGAATCGAATCATAACGTGCCATTTGACGTAAAACTGAACATTTCAGCTACCAAAATAAGCAACAGAACCTGTAGAAGTATCTAAATATACAAAAATTACTAAGCTGGAAACTCGATACTGGCGAAATATAAAAAAAGACACCGCCAATGAGATGACCGAAGAATTCAAAAAAGTTACTCAGTGACTAACTTTTTTTTTATAATGGCGACTAAAGAACTGTCGACTGAAGACTTTTTTAGTTTGAGTTTCAGTAATATTTCGTTTATAAATTGTTGTTATTGTTTTCAATTGTATTGTTTGTATTGTATTTTAGTATTGTTATGACTTGGACATTATTATTATTATTAATTTTGTTATTTTATACTGTTTAAGAGCACGCTGCACATTGTAATAATTATATTATAAATTGGGTATTGTTATTTTAAATGTTTAGGTTACGGATCAAATCCTTGTTATTCTTTTTAGTTTTTGTTAAATAGGCATAGCCTATCTACCTCTTCTCAGGCTCCAGTTGAAAATCAGCGCTGTGGCTCTGCCCAGCTGAGCTGGCTAGCCTTTTCGGCTATTAATTATGTACTTAGTAATATATATATATATATATATATATATATATATATATATCTTTTGGTAATTTTTTAGTGGTTTACTTTTTAATTTAAATTTAGGTTAATATAATTATTATTATTTGTATATTTTATTTGTAATAGCCGAATAAATGTTTCTTTCTTTCTTTCTTTCTTTCTTTCTTTCTTTATTGATTTAATTTTTGTAGATAGAATAGTAACTTTTAAATAGCGCTAAATTTAAGTTTGGCTCAATATTAAATAAAAATGTAGAAATATAAAACATGATAAATGAATGACAAGATGACAAGACGTAATTTTGTCATACAACAAATTGTATATTGTAAAGCATTATTGAGAAGTCTCCAATATTATACAAAAATAACACGTTTTGTATAATCTATATTATTTAAAGGAGTAGGCTCCGGAGAAATTAACAGATGGGCGCACAGTAAAAACCATAAGTCCTAGAAAGGGGTGTGTAATGGAAGATATAACAACAAATAATCTTTTTTCACTTTGTATAACGACAACATTTGATATAGTTTCTAAGGATATAATCACTCACTGTATATAATCAACAAAAGGTATAACAACATAAGGCATAATTTCAATGTGAATAATGAACCGTCAGTATAACAAACCTTAGATATAATGATTAGGTGACATAATGAACAAATGGTACTACCAGTATAATCTATTAAATAATAGAACAGAATATTTCGTTTTACGAATAGTTGAAGCGCTCCATATTGTGTTGATAAGATTTTTTTTATTTCATTAAATGCAATCGCAAAATATAATTGTATTTTACAGCTTTAAGTGGTTTTGTATTACAATATATATTTAATATATATATATATTAAAACTTTAACATAATATTTAATTCCATATACTAACCTAACCTAAACCCACAGGAGGAGGTCGAACCAACTAGCAAATGCAAACAAATTCAGTTGTGGCGCTCTTCGGCCGCTACCGTAGCACACTCGCTGCGCTCGCTCGACTCGTGCAGCTTTTTCAAATACTAACCTAACCTAAACCCACAGGAGGAGGTCGAACCAACAAGGAAATGCAAACAAATTCGGTTAATTCACCATGTGATTGTTAAGCTAAGGATTAGGAAGTAAAAGCTACGTTAGTTAGTTTTTATTCAAAAATGGAAACTATGGAAAATAACCGTCGCTAACAGAAGTTGAAATAACTCGAGTAACAATGCAACGGTGATTAAAAAATTAATAAACATTTATATCACATCACATTGTAGTGAATCAAAGAATACATTATAAAAATTACAACACAAGAATATGAATAACTAAATAGTTATTTGTAATTTGCAAAAATTTCAAAAAAATATTTTTCTATCTACAAAAACACTTCTGTAATACTACTGGTAAAGGCGTGGTAGCCTAATTTGACGTACCGCCTCTCAAGCAGAGACCGTTGCGTGGGTTCAGATCCGGCCTCGCGCCTCTGAGTTTGTCGGAATTTATGTGCGAAATTTACCATGAGCTTTTCAGTGAAAGAAAACACTGTGGTGAAACTTGCACACCGAAGAAGTTCACAACACTTGGAAAACTTGTGAAGTCCCCAACTCTCATTGGGCGAAGTGTGGCGGACAATGGCCTAAACCTCTCACCTGAGAGGAGACCCGTGCGCAGCAGTGGGACATATAAATGAGCTGATGATGAATCAGTATCCTCCGCATGCAGTATCCGCAAGTTATAAAATTTATTATGGTCAAAAAAATGTTATTAATTTACAACAAAATTTTCAGAACCAAAATATTGTCTAAATTCATTAATCTCTATTTTGCTTTAATTTCTTTGCTGTCACCAAAAGCATAATTGCAAGTGTTTCAACCTCTTGTCAGTGTTATGTAATTATTATTTAACATATACGTCCAGTGGGTATGTGAAACTAAGTCTTTCCAGTCTACGTTAGGTAATTTTGCCTCGGCAAACCCGGTTTATTACCCTTAACACAATTAAAGTTAACGGTTTCGTGAAATTCAAAGAATTCAAGCTAACAATTACATAAACCACGGATATATTATAATATAACACTCTCCTTTACAATAAGAATTATTGCGGTATACATTAGTATACCGACATATACAACAGAACTATAAAGTCATTCATTTGTTCGACGAAATTCGAAATACAATCGAACTAATTGTGTTGTAACCATAAATTGAATATCAATAAATGAAATTAATTATAATGTATTTCCTTGAATGTTTCAGATGAATAGTGATAGACTCGAAATACCTTCCTAAATAAATCCTACAATAGTAAATCAATGACCTTGCTCCGAACAAAAGTAAATCTATTCTTAGAGTTACTGTTTTAGTTTCAGCTAGTAAATAGCGATCAAGCTTCAAAGTTAGTAAAAAATTCACATTGTCAAAATATTTTACGAATCGATGTAGCGTAAATTGGAATGTTTTTTGGTAAATTATTTATATTATTTAAATTAATACTTTTATAACTGTAGTGTTCATCCATGGGTACTTCCCTGGACGAAAACTATAGTTATAAAACCACCTTGCCACCTTACCTATTTATGGCGCCAAGCAGTAATACTAACATTACTGGGTTTTTCCGATTTTGAAGGGTACCGGTGCTGGTGAAATTACAGGCACATGGGACTAGTCAACTTCTCTCAGGGTGACGGGCGAAGTAGCGGTGCTTTTCAGATCTTTCCGATTTAAAGCTATGGCCAGGCGTGTCGCTTACCACCCAGCGCATAACTTGTTCGTCCCGTCCCCTAGTATCATAAATAAAGCTCTATTGTCTGTGCTCTGTGGTCTTTTTAAAAAACCAGATGAACGCCATTTCGAGCCAAGATTGTAGCAAGCGCGACAACATAAGAATTCGATATATACAAATATCGATTTCTTATATCAATTAATTGAATTATAAAAATACGAAATTATGTTAATCGTCACACTAGCAGTCTGTAGCGAACGAAGCTGAAATACATCCCTGGGAGAGCACCCCTATAGAGACACTGTAGCCAATTTTTTTGTAAACCCAAGATATCTTAAAACGGCACATTTTTCATGAAAGCAATTTTTTTCGACGACTTTCAAATATTTGCTTCCTTTCTAGTATAATAGGACTACCTCGGTGGCTCAACGATTTGCACCGGGGGCGCTGGATGATGGGGCCCCTGTTTCAATAACCGGTAGGACCAATTTAAGAAATGAACTGTTCTGTTCTATATCGAACCTTAGCAAGATTGCGCCTGGTCATTAAAGCTTTAAAGTCTGCTGTGAGCCAAGGAGCCCGAAGATGCTTCAGCCGGACAGGACGGAGCGGAGCATGGATGTCATAAAGCTGGATAAGCATCGAGTTGATAATTTCCAGCTTCAGATCGATGGTTTGGGCTCTAAGAACAGCATCCCAGTCAATTCCACCAAGGTCACGCATAAAGCTACCTTCATTAAAGTTCTTAAAATTGCCCTGCATACCACCCGAGGTTTAGGCTTAGGGCAACGGATTCTGTATGACAGGAAAATAAGGACATGATAGGAGAAGGCCTCGGCAGGGAATTGACCGTGTACGCTAACATGGTCAGTTGAGGACACAATAATAAGGTCCAACAAAGATGGATGGCATCCAGGAAAGTGGTGCGTTGAAGAAGATGGGAGAATGCTAAGATTCGTAGAATCCACGATTGAGCGAAGCCGAGTAGAACGGGAGTCGTGTTTAATCAGGCAGGTGGTAAAATCACCCATAATTATTGTATTAACAACCGTGGGTGCCAAATCGTCCAATAAAGTCTCAAAATTACTAAAATATTGAACATGTAGATTGGGGCTGTAAAAAACTCCCAAAAGGATCTTCTGATGGCCCAAAAGAACTTCCACAAAAAGATGCTCAGATGATTCAGAATAAGGAGAAGGGGATTTATCTAGAATATTGAAAGGAAGATTACTCTTAAGGTATATAGCAACCCCACCTCCACCTTTACCAGTCCTATCATTGCGGATGAGATGGAAACCAGGAAGCTCGTAGAAAGACGAAGGGAGACATGGTTTTAAAAAAGATTCCGAAACTAATATTGCGTGAATATTCGAATTATTTGAGAAAGTGCTCACCAAATCAGTATAATGGGCAGGAATACTTTGTGCATTTATATGGACTGCATTAAAGTTTTTCGCGACGGCTGAAAAGTTAGCTTCCAGAAGTTCATCTAATGGTCGAGACACACTATGAAAACTAGAATCAGGAAGCGAAGACTTTGAGTGAAAATCCAACCCATCACTCAAAGAGTCTTTACCGTTGTAGGCATTAGTTTGCAACATTTAATATAATATTATAATATATATGTAATTACAGAAAATATAATATATAATAATAAGCACTAAAATAAAATAAGTAAAATAAAAATAAAAAACTAAAATAATGATGATGCTAATAAAACCCAAAATATTCATTATATCCGCCAGCAGTGTGAAAGAGAATAGCTTACAATGTCAAAAAATAATTAGAAAACAAGACACAAAAGTATTGGAAATTAAGAGTTTTCTCCGTCTACGGAAATTAATAATAACGTATACAAATAAAATAAAACATGTCGGCGCAACATCGGCATGTCATAGCGTACACAAAACGAATCACAGATTTGAACAGGTTCTATTCTATTTTTAAAAAGAAGGATGGCTTCTCTTTTAGAATTTGGCCAATGTCTAGTCAGTCATGGGAGTTACACTTTTATTTATTTTCCAATGTTTAAACATTTAACGCTGCTCTTTAGTCTATTCCAATTCTTCACCACGCAAAACACACACAACACAATAAACGGCACGCACAGATATGGGAAATCTACAGAAATAAACAAATTCGCAGTTCAGAGAGTAAGAAAAGGGTCAACAAAATCTTTAGCAAAAAAAAGAGCACGTGTATCTTCCAATCACTCTGACCGAATCTGAACAGGTTTCCAAACGAATAATCGCTATGTAACTGTCAGAAAAAGATGTTAGTGACAGATGACGTCTAGAGACAAAATCGTAACAAACGACTGTCGCAAATTAAAATATAAAAAGATATGATGACTGTAAGTAAAACACGAGAGGTTTCTCAGGATCGCGCTAAATGTCGATCGATAGACTCTGCCTGGGGTCAAAGGGAATCCAAGGACGAATATATTATGTATTTTCAAAGTCATTTAATCGGGTAACAACAAAATGTAATATCACGTTAGAACGTTCAATAATAATTAAAACAATATTGAGGTTTCACGTTTGATTACATCCTTTTAATGGTTTTCGATGTTGTTCACACGGAAAAGCATCGACTGTTCTCGCTTACAATAAACATATTTACGCTGATACCACTTTTCCAGTCTAATACCTAAGAAGGCCTTAATTATAGCTATATAAATAATAATTTAGTTAGTTTTTTAATTCTTTCTCGTAGAAAATTATTTTTCTTTAAAAAAATTTTTTGTAAAAGGACAATCGTGCTTTTTAATTTAGACCAAACGAACTATTCAACGTTCCTTGCTAATTATTTTCTTTATACTTAAATTGAAACTTAAATTTTGCCCTGAACATAATTATGGAAAACAATAAAATAAAGAAGTCGTCCAATAGAAATTCTTGGTAGGTAAGTTAGTTTTTCTAAGAATTTGATTAGTGAGAAACCTCTCAGTCCGGAACATAATGATAGCTCAGAAAAAGTTTCTATTCCCTCAATTCCCAAAAACCATTTTCTGAAACGGAAATATTCTTCAATGCTTTATTTGATTAAACCCTGAAGTTTTTCTTCAAAAACAACTTCAAAAATAATGTGCAACAACTTTTAAGCAAATACGTACCATCGTCAGACACATCATCGCTCAACGTCAGGTAAGGTTGTGCCAAGCGTGTCTATTATATAATACAAAAAAAACAAGGTACTAACTACCTAATATGTGTTTTTGTCTTGTATGTGTTTCATGCATAAATTCACTTTATGTTTTTTCTTCTTGCATGCCATTCCGTAGGCGGTCATACATTTTCAGCGAATAGATTGATATTAGGACGAATTTGAACAAAACAAAAGTTACATTTAAGACAAATGTCGCCCCGGGACCTGTAACCGTAGGTGGGGCTGCTTTTAAGGTTGTGCATAATTAAGTCTACCTTGGCCAAAGTATCCAGCTTGGCAAGCACAATTATTATTTCGAGAAGGAAGCCGACATGAGAATTCATTTGGGCTGGGAAACTTAGCCACGTCTTCGGGTAGTCAACCCCATGGAGTCTAAAAACAAAAACGTTCAACCACTGCGTTCTAGCAGTTATGTCTTATAGAGCCGAAACGTGGACATTAACAAAAGTCCTTATCCACAAATTTAAAGTCGCTCAGCGTGCGATGGAGCGAGCTTGCTTGGGGTTCCTCTGAACCGAATTCCTAATGAAGTCATACGTCAGAGAATTAAACTGTCCGACATAATTCGTAAAGTCAGTAAGCTTAAGTGGCAGTGGGAGCAGCCTTGTTTGGCTTAGAGAGTAGACTTGTTCTAGAGTGGCGATCACATCATGGCAAACAAAGTGTGCGGCACAATAGGACGGACGAACTGAGAAAGATGGCCGGCAGCGGCTGAATGCACGGACGGCACATGAACGGGAGAGTTGGCAAGCTCATGGGCTCAGCAGTGGTTGCGTCTAAGCTAATGTAGTATTGTAGGTATATATAGGTAGTCGTAATGTTAATAAACTAGATGGAATGTCAATTTCCTACGCAAGCGCAGCAGTCTGTTTTCCTTATTTTTTTGTTCTGCACATGTGGGCGGGCAAATTTTACAATTGAATATTTTCCCATAAACTAAACGTGGTGTGACCTTAATTATCACAGGTTGTAATTTAAAATGTAAGATTTGTTACGATTTCATACACATCGATTGAGGACCGGCCGAGTCATTCCTTTGGGAAATTGCGCAATTTGTGTGGGTTAGTTCCAAAATAAGGCAAACAACTTTTTAAGTCTTTGTCTCCATGATGCTAAATCCTACCTACAATAATTAAAGTACTTTCCCTCCGTGACAGGTAGTCGTGAGTCGAACCTGTATTTTTTTATGATACCACTTGACGAGATGGACAAGTCGTTCGCCTGGTGTTAAGCGTATGACCATAACAGTTACAATGTCACTCAGATCTTTGAGATTTAACGCAAAGATCTGAGAAACACTACCATTACGCCTGTCACCCTGAGACAGTAATTTCACCAACACCCACCCTACAAACGCTGTAATGTTCACATTATTTGTTGGCGACAGAAATAGGTAAGGTAATGTGGCAGTCCTACCCTGGACAAACTCTTTCACGAGGAGTTCTACTTCTACTAAATATAAATACTACATATAAATGTAAATACATAAATATAAATGCCATATAAAATTAATAATAATTATACTCTATTATTATACTTACTATGGAGAAGAACTCCTAACTGTTCACTATCACAGAATGCGGCATTGTTCAGGACACTTTCCAATTGTTCCCTGATCACAGGTTTCGCGTTGCACCAAACTATACTCCCGCTTTGTGACCACTCTGTCACCATCATCTTGATGCTCTGTACAAATAAATATTTATTATAAAAAAATCATGACTATTTTATTTATTTATTAGATGCACAAAACAATTTAGGTTCAATGGCACTCCAATCAATACTACAATTTAAGTTTTTAATTTAAGATGTAAACTTAACATTATGTGTACATCGAGCATAATTATTCAGCTCGTATACATTATATTAAAAAGTAAACATACAGTTTCTTCTACATGTGTATACGGATAAAAATAATTACAAAAGCTTATAACTAGTGGAAATAAAAGCATAAAAAAATGGCTAAATGAGAAAATCTATATGTTATAGAAACATCTATAATACCTCGCTAGATAATTTAGTATCCCAAACCCTGCGTCTAGTGGTAAGCGACACATCTGTCCATAGCAGATGTAGTGCCACTCAGAGCTTTAAATTGCAAAGATCTTAGGAGCTCAGTCACTACGCCCGTCACGCTGAGACTTAAGTTGATAAGTCCCATGTCCTTGTAATTTCACCAGTACCCTGATCATTCCAAACCTGAGCTGAGTAATGCTCAGTTTACTACTTGGCCTCAGAAATATGTCAGGTGGCAGTACTTCCCTAGAAAACTCTTTCACAAGGAGCTCTACCGTTGCTAAAACTATAAGTATCGAAATTATTTATTACACCCACAGAAAAAAACGGTTCTTAACTTAGTGACCTTTTAGTAACCAAAATTACAAGATATCAGCAGAGAAACATTAAGACAGCCTATTTAAACTTAGTCGACTGCCTACTTGACTTTGTGAAAATAAAGTTTCAGAGACTTCGCTCGTAATGGATAAGACGGGCGATGTAGACACCAAGTTCCTAATCCCAGTGGGAACTATAAACTGGATTGTTTTGTTGTAGGTTCGAGTGAATTGATCTGCCGTTCGTACCAATGCCATTATTCAGATGACCTTAACAAAAAAAAGGTCACGGAAAGATTGGATTACGAAATATACATTATATACATACGAAAGCTAGTAAATGAATATAGCACTAGGCCAGCTTTATGCAGAGAGCTTGATAGCGTCCTTCGAGTCTAAAATAAAGGCTTCAGGATGATGATTTGCACAAGCTAGAACTGATGATTTTTATGCTATAATGTACAAAAAGACTGCCTCAATGCTCTGAAAACCGTGGGCCATTCCCAAATCCATCTTGATGACTATGGCGGACATGACTCGCCATTCATGCGCCACACTTTGCGCTTTATAATCAGCAGAAAATGTCTTTTCCAGTCGTTCAAACACTAATTTATTTAAATTTTATCATAGTTAGTTAGTAGAGCTCCTTGCGACAGAGTTCGTCCAGGGAAATACTGCCATCTTACCTATTTATATATAGACACATGGGTCTTGTCAACTTATGTCTCAGGGTGACGGGCGCAGCGGCAGTGCCCTTAAGATCTTTGCGACTTAAAGCTCTGAGTGGCACTGTAACTATTATGGATAGGCGTGTCACTTACCACCAGACGCACGACTTGTTCGTCCCGTTACTTGGTATTATAATACAAAATTACAATTCTCGTAATAGTATAATAATAATAGTTAGCCTATATATATAGTCTAGCTGTTGGGCATAGACCTCCTTTCACAATGAGAGGGTGAATATGTAGTTTCAACATGGCCCAATGCTTATTGGGAACTTCACACGCATGATTAAATTGCTTTGCAAATGTGTGCATGTTTCCTTACAATGCTTTTTTTCTTTTTCCGAAAAACTCATGGTAAATTTCAAATTGAATTTAGCACTTACATTCTGTAAACTCAGAGGTGCAAGCACGGTTTTGAACTCACAACTCTCTGCTTGAGAGGCGGTCTCTGCTACCAGGCCTAATTCTTTTGTTACTTACCAATTCGGAACATTATAGTCTACTTTCCAAATAAATTAATAAAAAATAAATATATTGTATTATGGTTTTGTATTTATCCATGATGTCTTAACAACAAAGTAAATTTATCATAAAAATACATAAAACATTGTGCTTGAAGCGACCAGATATATTTAATTATTTTAAGCAAAAGGCCTTCTCCAAAATTAAACGAAAACAATTCGCTTATACAAGCACACAAAATTTCATGTAAATCAACGGCAAAAACGTAAATAATTTCGCAAATTTTGAATATTATTGAATATTGTGATTCTGAAAATTGTAGGTTCGCATATTTGTTTTTAAAATTATTTAGTGTATACTATCATTTGCATACAGTGAATTTCATTAACAGTATTGCTACCTGAATATCATTATCGTATAATATGCTAATAATTAGTGTAATTTTAAACTAGAATGTGTTTGAGCCAGGTTATTACGCAGGTTCAAAACTCAACGGGGCGTTAAAAATTTCGAGTCATTTACTAAATCAAAAGTAGACACATAAATCAGAGCTCCCAAACGGCCATATTATGGCGGGCTGACTCTATTTCCGGATTCATCTTTGATTTACCACGCGTGATTGCCAAAGCCTCACTTTTTTAGAAATAGTTCATTTAACTCTAATCGGTCTTCATATAAAATTACAAATTCTTATTTTACTTTTCTACTTAAATTTACGCTTCCTTTCAAAAATAAATCTTACTTAATACAACTATAAGTTTATTTTGATTTTTCCGGAGGTTCATCATTATCATCATCAACCTATTTGTAAGTACCACTGCTGGGTATTCTCCTCTCAGGCAAGTGTTTATGCGCGTGTATATGCCCCAACCCACATGGGGACTTCACACGTTTTCCGACGGTTTTGAATCTTGTTCGACCTGCAGGTTTCACCAAAAAGCTCATAGTAAATTTCAAATTAAATTTCGTACGTAAATTCTGAAAAGCTCTGAGGCCACCAACTGAGACCCACGGCCTCTGCTAAAGAGGCGGTAGATCAAACCACTAGCCTACCACAGCTTTGCTAACCGGGTTTACTTTCTTATTTGTAAATATTATAATCCCGTTGTTTCTGAAATATAAACTAGCAAAGCTGATATTTAATTACGTTTCCCAATGTAACTATCGCATAAAAGTAACCTACTGGCAATTTGTCTGTATTTTATAAACGTTTTGAATTATTAAATAGAATTTCTATTAGTAAAACTGTCGTTGCGGTGTGCACAACAACGCAGCATTCAAGTTGACATTGCGGTTAGCCATTAAATTTCTAATACCTGACTATATTAATTAATACTAGCGCTGGAAACATTTTTAATTAAAATTTTGACGGCGTCACCAACTCTAGCTCGCTTTTGTTTTGTTGTTACCCCGTATTTTTTGTTTTTGCTATCATGTTTACGTTCAATGAGCATTTCTTGAGTGAAACGATGTTGCCAAATGAAATGTCATTTTTTCAGTAGCAGTAGAGCTCATTGTGCCATCTTACTTTCTACCGTCAAGCATTTAATGTGAGCATTACTGCGTTCCAGTTTTGAAGGGTAAGTGTGCTGGTGAAATTATCGTCAACTTGTGTCTCAGGGTAACAGACGCGGTGGCAATGACCCTCAGATGTTTGTGATTTAATGATTGAAACTCTGAGTGATCACCAGGCACACGACTAGTTCGTCCCGTCACTTAGTATTATAAAAAAATAAAAATAAAATTTGATATAAGTGACAGCCTAGTGAAAATAAAACATCGTGGTAAGTCTTCGAAAACGTATAGTTCCCAACCCTCATTGAGCCAGCGTAGCGTACTATGTATAAATCAACTATATCTCCTTAAAGGGTACTTGTGCCATTTACGCAAGTAAATATAAATAATAGATGTTTTTTTCTATATCAACCTTGAACACAAAGGTTGGTTGCGATATTCAATTTTCATTCTTTTTCCATGAAATCAGAATTTAGAATAGTATAATCACACCTATTTCACAAGTACAAGCAAACTCCCAATGAACGTTTTATGCGAAGCATCTTCATCTTTCATTATTATACTTTTATCCAAACTTAACCTAGACAAAAGATTAATTATGGCAACCATTATTTAGTTTGTTGTTCTACATTTTTCTTTGTTCTTCGTAACACCTTTACTTTCATCACCTTATGAGGCTTAACGACCAAAGTTCAAAACTTTTCTAGCCTAAACAGAAATTTCGTAAACTTCTAATTCTTAAGAATAATAAAACACAAACCTGCAAAAAAGTGTAGTCCATTCTGTACAGTCCGTCGCAATATATCACGAGAACATTTAATTTCCTTACATTGCTTGATAGGTATGTTCTGTTTGGCGTTCCAGCTGCGACGGTGGTTCCATTTGCGACTACATTGGTTTCAAGAATATTACCGCCATTAGCTACATTTGCATAAGGCCCGTTATCCGGTATTCCTCGTAGTGTTTCCGGAGTTGGCGTTGACCTTTGTAGTCCCTTCGAATTTCGCAAAACAATCAATTTTGCTCGGACTCTTTCGGCTCCGGCGAAGTGTAGACCGCCGACCGGGTAGATTGCATAGTGCGATGGCAAAATACCGTTCTACGAAAATGAGAAATTGTTAAATTTACGATTTTTCGTATATAATCTTAAAAGAAAACTAGTTTCATATTTTTCAGGATTATAATGGTTTGTTTTGAGAACTGTATTAATGATTGTAAAAGAAATTTCCAATTTCAATAGATGATATAGACAAATTTTCTACATATATTAAAAGATGGAAATACGAGAATAAAAGAAATTTATATAACCTTGGTAAAATAATTATAACCCTATGAATTTAAAATATCCACGGAACTTACGTCTACAAATTCCACGTCCAGAGGTGGACGTGAATGATAATACAGCAGAAGTATCACATCGATTCCCACTCCACAAATCAGCCCCATCTCTATGCCCAGCACCAGGCAGCAAACAAATGTGCCCATTAGTGGGATTAAATCCAATCCTGTATAAGTTAAATTGTTTCACAATGAAATTTTAAAAGTCCATTTATATTCTAACCTATTTTTTATGGAAGTTACATACCATTTGTAAATATTTTTTCAAGCAGATAGAAAACTTTTACTGGATAAAAATATATGGCGATTCAATCTCATCGGTAACAACTCTACCATAGTTTATATAAGTTGAAAGGTATAATATAATACAAGCAAATGCTAAAGACGGACTTAAAACTTATATAGTAAGCTATGCTGTGGTTTTGTTACAATACCCAAAGCTAATCTGACGGAATTAGTACATAGAAATGTGTATATTAATCGTACAACGCAGAACCATGTAGAAGCATTTGTTTTAATTGAAAGACTTGTACCCCGTCACCAGTTCAAGTAGTAGCAAGAAACAAGAACAAACAACCATACATTGGCACTGAGTAATGAAGCCTCCTGGGAAATCTAACGCTCGGGATCCCGCAGCGAATTAAATCTCCACAACATCAAGTGTCGACAAATTGTACAACTTCTTTAACTTACGTAGAAAGATTAAAAAGTAACAATGTCTTCAGTTTTTTTGAGGGTACAATATTTATTGCCTTCGATGTGTACACCGGGAAAAACATTAAATTTGACCTCCATAATGAAAGTAATGAAAATTTGGGTCGCCGTTTGTAATTATGTGTTCATCTTAATACTGAACATAATTGCTCAAAGAAAGACATCACCCAAATTGGTTTTGGCAAACATAAAGATGACTATTTTGAAGAATCATTTCCAGGAAAGTCTCCTATAAAATGAAAGCTTTGTAAAAGTTAATGAAGTTTCTTAAATTACATGAAATCCGCACACTCGTGCAAAATGACGACTGGGCCCAACAAAATTTCATTAATCTTATACCTACCGCAGACCACTCGGCATATCAAATGATTTGGTTGAAACGATAATAACTTCCCCGCTCTCCAGAGGATTTGGCCCATTCTATAGGAATAATTTAACGAAACTCCCAACGCTCCCGGCATTATGGTGAAATCCCTAAATTATTTAGGATCTTTGGCACGATTAGATAGCTCCGATAAGCGAGTTATTTTGTTCTGAAAGGGGCTTTTCGCATACTAAATAGTTAAAAGCAGTGGAAGTTCGGTCACGTCAGACCCGTTTCAAGGTTGAATGGTGTCACAATTAGCAGCCTCTTAAGAGAAATATTAACGAAGGTACGCGATTTCACATCATATTATATCAAAAGCAAGTGTTTGAAGTGACTACGTAGCTCCTACACTAAGGTAAAGCTATGAATAATCATCTTTGAAAACTATGAGACCTTTCTACCAGCTGTACATAATATCGACCAACAGCCTCTCTAATGTAATACTGAATTTGGCAAAATTTTCACGATTTCGGTGACAGTTAAGCGACAACAGTACATTTGATCAAGCAGTCTATTCCTTAATCGTTCAGGAAATAATAAAGGTTTCAAAAACAATGAAATTGCAGCGATCTGAGGCTATCTATAATACTAACTAAGCTGCGTTAAAAAGATTTAATTAAAAATAAATACAAAATATACCGACAAAATTAATCACATTTAGCAAATAATCAAAAGGTAGTTCAAATTACAATTCCACAAAAAAAAACTGTATTTCCGAATAATATACTAAACCTCCGAAAGAAATATTTGCTGACCATATACATAATTGTTCAATGAAAATGTAAAAACTGAAAATGTAAGTGTAAAAACCAGCTTAATTTATATATAATATTATAATATTATTCAATTTCTAATATTATTGGTTATAAATTGACTTTTTCTACTCTCAATTTTAATGAAAATTACCTACAACGTTCAGCCCGAGACGGCAACCCTTCGTGCGAGCTTCAAACGCGACACCATCTTGACAATTTTTTTATAGAGCTTTGGCTATCAGTTTGAAAATTTCATATGAAAGCGCAGTCTTTCTGGGGCGAAGCAACCGCTTTAAACGTCATAGTTTGTTTTTTATTTAAATATTTCCCTACGTTGAAATAGTTTAAGCAGCACCAAAGTTTATGAAATGTTTAAGGTCACTTTTAAATTTATAATAAATAGTTGATTTACGACAAAAGTTAGAAAACTGATTTGGTAGTATAACTTGATTGAGAAGTATAGCGCTAGCAAGATTGTCGGAACTTTCAATATTTCATTCGGTTGTTTCCGTATTTTATGTGCACAAAAGGTTTCGGTAGCTTAGTAAATAACGCAATAATATTCATAATTTATTTTGAATAGGTTCATTTTCAATTTATTTTTCGGAGCTTTTATTACTACCCTGTTCGCTCCAATGACACCCGCACGGAGATAATGATCACATAATTATAATCTATAAAATTAGGCTTCATTAGAATTATACATGTCAAACTTCGTGAACCAGTGCTGGGATAGGGTCAATGAAATCGAAAATCGATGTTAATATACAGGTCGATATACGATATACGATAATCGATGTTAATATATTATTTGCAAAATACTAAAAACCTCGCAGGACTATGTATTTTACTAGTATCGCAAAGAACAACTTTTGTTCCACGACTTTTAATAATTCATCAGACTTTACTTTCATACAAATAAATACATTTAAATAGATCACTCTATATAGAAAGAATAGATCACTCTAAGGCTTAACACGCACTGGCGCAGAGTCGAAGCGTGTCGTGATGCGTCATGTTTTTCGCCTGCAGCATATTCATCTCTATTTTCCCATTATTAAGGTACAAATTTGTATTTTGCAAATATGGGATTAAACTTTGACGCGCGTCGACGCTAGGTAGCATTCGAGCGGCTTCACGCGTCGACACGCACCACGTCACTTGAGTGTGAGGCGTCAGACGCCGACCACACAATGCGAGTGTCGTCGCGCGTCGCCAGGCGGTGTAGTTGAAAAACATGACGCGACGCGACGCTTCGACTCTGCGCCAGTGTGAGTTAAACCTAAGTAGTGATAACTTTATGCAAAACGCAGAAGCGGGAGTGGAGGTCATCGGAGAACTTGCACGTTTGATCTACTACTAGACTACTGCTTGCTACTACCTTAGTACAAAATGCTAATGTAAAAAGTGTCAGATAGTACAACAAAAACTTAAAAAAATATTTTTGGTAAATTTATTATGTTTTGCAAAAATCTTGGAACAAAAGTTGTTGTTTATGATAATAGCAATATAGTTTGCGAGGTTGTTAGTATTTTAAAAATAGCCCTGTATATCGACTAATCTATGACATATTTAACTGCCTCTGTGGCCGAACGGTTATCATGCCGGACTGCTACGCAAAGGTCCCAGGTTCGATTCCCGGCCGGGATAAATATTTGTATGGCCTACATTTATTTCTCTCGTGAGTTTGGGTGTATTTGTGGTTGTCTATGTGTGTGTCTATGGCACCCGCGATACTGGGTTTCCCTAGTGCCGGTTATGTTAAATGTGTGCGTTAGTGTCATGTATTTACTCTCTCCATATCTAATTTTATTCAAATAAGTGTCATATCAAGGCAATAAGTGAAATCAACTGATTTAATTCAGTAATAGGGCCTGCCCTATGAATAATGTCGAATAGGCGTAACACCACTATTTAATAACAATAATAATAACAATATAACATAATAAACCTTTATTTATCTACGTATGACATACCAGTTTAGCGTTAAATAATATCGTCTGCACTTACGCATATTATGTAGATAAAAAGGTGAACGTTCCGGCTTAAGTTAATTTTCAGTTTAATTACCATAAAACGCATCCAAGCCTACCTAAATAACAGTATAGTACTACATATTGGATAAAATATACAGTTTATACGAAAATTATGTGTAATATTCGTAACACTGTGACGTTGTTCAAAATAAAACGAATAATTCACAAAAATGTTTCAAGTAACATTTTAAAAATGACCGCTACACTATTGCTTGATCGAATGAATTGATCGACTTTTATATATTCAACGAGTCAACACCAACTTTATTTTGCCGAACCTAACTTTCAGAGTAATGAAATTCTTTTTTCGGATCTAAATCGAGTAGGTATATATAAACCAACGCCGGTCCCTTTACAGCTCCTATGGTCACGGATGACTGAAAAAACAAATATACCCGATTTAGATCCGAATAAATTGTTTTATTTCCATGTGTAACAATCGCGAAAACCTAAGAACTCGATAATAATGTAACTTGTTGTGGAACTTAACATTAATAATATTTGTTAGTGAATTAATAATGTATCAATGATTTATGAATTTCAATTACCGTATATAAATGTGGGGTAGCGTAAATATGTAAAATAATTATAGTTTTGTGATGTTTAAACAAACTATAAATTGTAGGACGCTGCTCCATATTTACATAGTTTTAATTTTGATGACATCATTCTAATCAAGCTTAATTTTTCGGAGTATAATTGTACAAAATAAAGCAATTATTTATTTCTGTATTAATCTGCCTTAGCAAAATATTTTCAAACTTACTGCTAGAAGCCCACAATCGCTTGATGATGGCGATGTCCACCATTTGTAGTACAGCACAAATGATCACTGACGCCAAAGCCGCACGAGGGATGAAGTAGAAATATGGGGTCAGCAGCGCAAGCGTCAGCAAAACTATTATACCTGTTAATTATTAGTTGAAAACTATGTGAAAATCTGTAGCTATGTACAGGTTTCGTTACAATAAGTCAAAAGTTTTTATTGTTTCAAATGTTTAAAATATATTCTACAAATTAATTTTACATGCGTATGGGACTTGTTAACTTACGTCTCATTGTGACGGGCGCAGTGGCAGTGGCCCTAAGGCTCAACTCACACTGACGCAGAGTCGAAGCGTCGTGATGCGTCATGTTTTTCGCCTACAGCATATTCATCTCTATTTTCCCATTTTTAAGGTACAAATTTGTGTTATACAAATATGGAATCACGCGTCGACGCGCGACGACCACTGCGCCCGTCATCCTGAGACATAAATTGACAAGTACCATGTGTGAACGCAGTATTGTTCACATTATTGCTTGGCGGCTAAAATAGGTAAGGTGGCAGTACTTCCCTAGACAAACTCTTGGACGAACACGAGGAGCTATGCTGCTACTAAAATTGCAATTACTATTAAAATTATTAGTTATATAGACCCTTTTGGGGTGAATATTATGTTATATTTGTGGGCAATACAGTATCACTTAAAAAGAAAAAATCATTGAAATTCCTGAAATTGTAAGATTTAAAAAATACAAATCGTATAGATTATAACGCGAATGAAACCGCAAATCATTTCGGAGGTCGATTACCCTTAGTATTTTATTCCATTTTTAGCCGGTTCTTATATTTGTAGCCTGCAATATATTTTGTTTATCCGAAGCCCTGTCATATATTATTAACAAGCGTCGCACATGGAGGCGCAACTTACGTGAGGGGAATAACGAATAGTCAATACCATAGACGGTCAATACAATACCAATACACGTACTCTTTTACTCACAAATCATTGGTAGAAGTCTCTATCCAAACCTTCGGTGAACTTATCTAAGGAAAAGTATTGCTAAAATTCAGAAATAGGACAGAAACGGAATCTTAACGAATTACCCGAACTCATTGAAAACAAACATTGAACTTTCAAGTACACATTTCAAGTTGGCAAGTATTTAAAAGGAAGGAACGACGACAATGAATATATCAAAATTTAAAAACTAGCAGTCTACCAAGGCTGACAGTAAACTATGATGCGAACTTTTAGATTTATGAAGTCTACTCTCTCGGTCCATTCCAGCGCATGTGAAATATGATAAATCTTCAGGAACATTTGTCTTAACACCGATGTCGAGTCTTGTTCTTCCAGCGTTAAAAACGTGTATTACAAAAGATCAATGTACGATGAACAGACAGATTACTTCAGTTAATGCGATAGATATTTTATTTTTTGTTCACTCGTTTACGCTTACGTTCAATAGGAGAAGAAATAGAAGCAAAACTCGTGGAAAAACTAAGGCTTGCTGACCGTGATGATACAAAGTCTCTATATTTGAATCTCATAGAAAACGCAAGCGAGAGCAAAATGCTAATGGATCAAGAAGCATTGAGTGTTTTCATTGACTTAGATTTAACGAAAGCACAATATATATACTTAAGGAATTTAACAAACGAACGAGACTGTGTTCTATTCCCACCATTTTATAAAATACAAGAAATCAAACAGACATATTATCCACCACCTACAGCAATAGAAATTACAAATACACATGCAAAAGTACTAAACCTTCAAAATTTATTGGACCACACTGTAGCTAGGATTTTGACCATAGATTCGGTGTATAAGAATGGATTGTGTCATTTAGTTTTATACAGTAAATGGGGATGTGATGGTTCATCTGGTCAAAGTCAGTACAAACAAAAACTTCCAGAGGAGTCTGAACTTGTTTCTGATGCAAATTTGTTTATTACGTCGTTAGTGCCTATTAAATTAGTCAATGAGCTTACTGGCGACATTGTCTGGCAAAATCCAGTGCCTCCGTCAGTCCGTTTTTGTCGGCCCATACCGATAGAATTTTGTAAAGAAACTCCTGACAAAACTAAAGCTGTTGTTGATGAAATAAAGAACCAAATAATTTCCTTGCTTGCATAAAAATGATGGCCATCATTAATTAATAAAGAAGGTGAAGGAGTGAATGTTAAGCACGAACTCTTTCTGACTATGATAGAAGGGAAAGTAGCTCAAGTATTAACAGATACACCATATGGATCCACGTGTACAATCTGTGGAGCTACGGCAAATGAATGATCTGACTAAAGTCACTAGTAGGCCAGAAAATGAAAATGCATATCAATCCGGACTTTCCACATTGCATGCCTGGATTCGTTGTATGGAAATGGTATTACATATCTCATATAATCTTTCTTTTCGGACATGGTCAGACACAAGTGAAGAAAAGAAAAGACAAAAGCAAGAAAAGAAAACCCTAGTCCAAAAACTTTTTCGGGAGGAGCTAGGATTGATCATCGACAAACCACGACAAGGAAGTGGTAATACCAATGACGGTAATACTGCTAGACGATTTTTTCACAACGCAAATTGTTCTTCTGAAATCACCGGAGTGGATGTGAATTTGATCAAAAGGGTGTACATTATTTTACAGGCTCTTTCATCAGGCGTAATGATAAATGCAGAAAAATTTGGCAAATATGCCATGGAAAATGCCAGGATTTATGTAAGTAATTATGAATGGTACTACATGCCTTCTTCAGTACACAAAATTTTGATTCATGGTGAAAGTGTCATTAATCATTTTGGTGTAATTCCTATTGGTCAACTTTCCGAAGATGCACAAGAATCCCGTAATAAGGATTATAAAAAATTTCGCCTACATCATGCCAGGAAGTGCTCTCGATCAGCTAGAAATGAGGATGTATTTCACACTCTTCTCTACACATCAGATCCGTACATTTCCAGTCTTAGAAAAACATATAGCAAAAGTGTGAAGGCACTTGATGAAGATACCCTGGATCTTTTAAAAGTGAAAGAACTCATTTTGGATCCTGAAGTTCAACAAGTATAATAAAACATAATATACACATTGACATACATACATTTCTAAAATTATTTTACTTTTAAATTAGTATTTTGTAACTTTTTTACTATACGTGTTTGTAATCTTATAACTTTTAATTTCTTAATTAAATAGATAAGAGCTTAAACATGATTGTTTTTAAAAAACTAATGTAATAATACATTTTTATTAATAATATAAGTAGCGTTGTCCTTAAGGAAATCAAATAAAAGCTATTTCTGAAATATATTTTTTCATTTTTTTTTTCAAAAATAAACATACTCTTATAAAAGTATAGCATCTGAACTTTAACTAAAGCAGTATTTAATACTCTATGCTTGTGCAAAAATTCAATAGTCTATCTTAACAAATAAGAAAGTTATTGATTTTTGATCTGAAACAGACCTCGATTTTCCATAGTGCGCTGCTTAAAATCGCGCGTGTGTGTAAAGGCAGACGATTAGCGACTGCATCGCGTACGCATCACGTTTGCATCGCTGCTTAAAATCGCGCGTGTGTGTAAAGGCAGACGAATTGCGACTGCATCGCGTGAGCATCGCGTTTGCATTGCTGCTTAAAATCGCGCGTGTGTGTAAAGGTAGACGATTAGCAACTGCATCGCGTATGTATCGCTGCTTAAAATCGCGCGTGTGTGTAAAGGCAGACGATTAGCGACTGCATCGCGTATGCATCGCGTTTGCGTCGCTGCTTAAAATCGCGCGTGTGTGTAAAGGTAGACGATTAGCAACTGCATCGCGTATGTATCGCTGCTTAAAATCACGCGTGTGTGTAAAGGTAGACGATTAGCGACTACATCGTGTATGTATCGCGTTTGTATCACTGCTAAAAGTCGCCGTGTTTAACCGCTCTTAAACCTATATATGGGGTGCATCCACTATGCTTTTCCTAATTTTCTATAACAAAGATGATTGGAAAAATTCTTACTTAACAATAAAGTAGCCCGTTGAACATTACTATATTCTATTATTACTTAAATTCCTGTTCTGTGTTATCATTGGGAGAAACATTTGTATGGCCTACATTTATTTCTCTTCTGAGTTTGGGTGTAATTTGTGATTGTCTCTGTGTGTGTCCATGCCACGCGCGACACAGGGTTTCCCTAGTGCGAGGCTATGTTGAGTGTGTGCGTTATAACAAAAAATTGTTATTATTAACTTGTAACGTATTGGTAGGTCAGTATGTCGTTCATAAAATGGCTGATTTAAATCGCCTCAAATTAAATAAGAAATTAGATTGAATTAACAAATAAACATGCAAGCGAATTTATTTAATGTATTCGGATATCAAACGACGCGTCAGTGGAAGATAATCGAGTAAATTATCGATTATCGACAACAGATTTTCGGCCTTGCTTGTTGGTAATTCCTACATACTACACTATTATTCTACTACCACATAGAGATGGTTATTTCGATGTGGATTTAATGTTTAATCATCTGTTCTTACATCCCTTGTCTCTTATTTCAAAAAGGCAATCCAATGGTTTATCGTCTTCATATATAAATAGAACCGATTTGCTTGTTTTTTTTTAAATTATTGTTATTTTAATTATTCATTTAAACCGTTAAACGTGCCGTGTAAACAATAATTTTGTCCCTAATTGGCATGTCAGAACCCAATGTAACAAGAGTTTGTCCAAATTAGGGTTGACTTCAGTAATCTTAAGACTAACTTTATGAGTGTTTAAGACGTCAAACGAAACAACCCTCAACAATGACAGAGTGCGGACTACAATCAACGAAACACAATGACGTGAAATCTTACAAATTCTAACAAAGTTAAGACTTGTAACCGTTCGGCGTAACTCGATTATAGGTTAATTATTTAAAAAAGGTTTAATTATTTACAAAAACATTTGCAAATTATATATAAATGTTTAGTCGTATATTATGATGATAGCTAATGGCAGTTTCAGTTTCAGTTAATCGTTTGTGTATAATAACATAATTTACAATACTGGTAACTGAGGCTGTCTTCCAATAATACCTACATGAGGTTTTTTTTGCGCATACTAATATGGTCGTGTTATAAATTTTGAACGGTGATTTTTTTCGTAATCTACGAAAAATTTTCGTCTACTTTGGAAAGACACTTTTAACTATTTTATTTAAAATAAATCTGTTTCTTTTATTAACAGTATTGTCTTTGAATAACATAATTTACAGTAGGTACTTGTAATGAAGGTTGTCTTGAAATAATATATGAGGGTTTCTTTTCATACACATCGAGTGATTAAATACAAAATACGGTCGTGTTATAATTTTGAACGTCCATTTTATTAATCGATTTCTAAAAGTCGATTTTTTAAACTTATTCGTCTACTTTAGAAGGATACTTTAAATTCGCTTAAAATAAATCTGTTTTCCTTTACTAACTGTGTTACTTCCGAGCCCGCAAACGCCCGAAGCAACTATCGCTTAAAAATAATGTTACGTTTTTAACCGCTACAAATTGTAACAGGGTCATAAATACCGGTATAGAATCCAGCGGCCGGGGTCCTTACGCCTGAAGAGTCGCTTACAGCGCTTCGAGTGAACGAGCCGTTCACAGGGAACGAACGGAAGAAAGCGCCAACCACATTGCAAGCGCCCAGAGCAATAATCTCTTGAGTCGCGTCCAACGTTCTGCCTCTAGCTGAAATATATCGAGTTATAAACTTTGTTATCTTTGAAAATCGTTCCAATGGATTGCTATAGTTCGACCAATTATTGCTGTAAAACGGAGATAGCGTAAAGTCATTTGAGCTAAAACTGGTTCCGTTAAATCGAAGGCCATGTTTATATAAAGTATAACTGTATTCAAAAAGTGAGAATGAACATGAATTTACAAAAACATTCTTTTGTCTGATTAATATCGTGAGCAGATTCAAACACATCAATGGGTAATAGATCATTTGCAATACCAAAGCGGATAATTTTCCATAATAGCCACGTTCAGCAGACAGTTTTGGAAAATCCTCTTTTTCAAAACCTTTTTTGGCAATTGCAAGAAAATCTAATTCACAGTGGAAATGCTGCTGCCCATCTCCACCAATTTCATCTTTTGTCGTTTTCTTCGACATCCAGTTTCTCCTGTTTGTAACCGAATACTCAAGTAAGTATTACTTACTATAGTAAGTAATACGTAGTCAACAAACTTACCAAACGCTTTAGCGATAGCTACATTGGAAATAATTCCCACAAGAGGAACAACCAACAATCCTGAACCCAAATGTGCAAACATTCCTCCCGCCGTGTAAGTAGTGTTACCTACTGACGTTTGGAACGGGGGTGGCTGCGGTGTTGGTAACCCTGGAGTTATATTACCTGAAATTAAAAGTATAACATAGTTTAGAGAAGCATTTAGATAAAAGTAACGCTTTACAAAGCATACTGACTGTTATACAAGTGCAGTCTATGGGTCTTATATTCGCAGCGGGCGTTTGACTTACGTGTCCAATATAATAACGCGTTCAGAGTACTGACGGGGCTGTCATTGAGTTGTAGTGGATGGGGAATGTTTGCGGAGGCTCAGACAAATGGCATGACCGTTTGCGTAGCGGTACGCATCTGCGCTGGGGCGCCTACGAGCTCTAACAACGTCCAGTGTGTCTTCACAGACCGGTGGAACTCGCCACTCCGTCGAAAATGGATTTAACTCCATACCGCAATTTAATTGAAATAATACAATTATAATAAGTCCAATAGGAGGGGATTAGAGGTTGGTAGAGCGAATTGCTCAGCTAGCTGGTAGCCCCTCCAGGAATTTAATAGAAGATGACCTTTGACATAACTAGACGGTGCACTACTATGCACAGTTTTACAAACTTTTCGGTGGACCACCGTGCACACTTTTAGAACAGCTCTGACAACAACAACAAAGACAACAAGATCCGTCCTGTAGGATGCAAGCGCAGAGTAGAGTGCGCGTCGAGTCCCGGTGCGCGCATATGTACAGAAAGACTCACAATAGCCCAAAGTGCTTTCTATAGTGAACATTATAATAACTTGATACAAAATACTCATGCGAAATCAGAAATCGCATATTTTGGGTCAATGCCATTTAACGAGGAACTTCGGAACTTGTTTTACCAGTGTTGTGTTTGTTGATTCATAAATCATTGTGGTTCAGATAATTGTTACTACACTATATACAATAAATTTTATCTAAAATAAATGTTTTGAATTTCATAAATTGATATACACATATTACCTACCTTTTTTTTTCATATTACCTACCTAACTTAACTGCATAATAGTGGCCGGTCTCTGTTATTGCCTACGCTAACTTTCAAGGCATGTATAACATTGGTAATATTCCTGTGTGTGATCGCCTGATTTGAACTTTTTTTCACTGTTTATAATTAAATAACACCTAAAACCAATGACATAAAAGAACTATACGAAGAAAGAGAAGGAAAGAAGACAAAAAGTAGCTAGAGTAGAGAAAGCGATTCATATAAACAAAATTTTGGACAACGGTTAATATTTTATATTCCGGGCTTCCCAGGGCTATGGGACACAAAGGGAAAATACTTTAAATATTGTACATGGGATATTTTGCTTCATAGAAACATTTTATTTGTAAACATAAATAATACGCATTCTATACCTTACGTCACCCTCAATAACAGGAGCTCTTGAATAGGCTTAAGGTTGATATTTTGCTTTTATTTGTTAATAAATAAACTAGATATATAATACTTTTCATGGTACACAGGTTTTACAGGTCAACACTTGAAAGACACGTCAGAATCGCAATGCTTAAAATACATCATTAACAAATTCAGATATTTGCTTTTTTTATGATACCAAATGACGAGATGAACAAGTCGTGCGCCTGATGGTAAGTGCCACGCCTATTCAAAACAGTTGCAGTGCCGCTCAGAGCTTTAAATCACAAAAATCTGAGGGGCACTGCCACTGCGCCTGTCACCCTGAGACATAAGTTGAAAGTCCCATGTGCCTGTAAAAATAACCAGCAATCGTCTTCAAAACCGTAACGCGGTAATGGTCACATTACTGCTTGGCGGCAGAAATAGGTAATGCGGCAGTACTTCCCTTGACGACTCTTTCTCAAGGAGCTCTACTGCTACTAAAATACATTTACGTTTATAGTGTTGGTAATAACGCAATAAGGGACAATATAAATAGTGCCTCTCCTGGCTTACTTTCGTAACTGGCATTAGGCAAATTTCTCAGAGCAACCGTATTTTCTTTTTAGCACATGACATCTTGAGCTGTAGTTGATGTCAATTTCGTAGTCAGTGGGTTACATTCATATAAAAAAAGTAACATGTACGTGGAGAATGTATGCCTTTGAAAGCTAAGTAAAATCGTATGTCATATGTCGTACTCACTTACAACAAAATTGTCAGATAAGTCAACCAGTGAGGAAAGAGACGATGTTTCATGTTGTGTACGTGCACCTGTACTATATTTAAGGGGAAGTCAAATGACTTTGTAGTAGAATTAACAACACTTTATTCGATACTTCTGGGAAGAAAGGACATAAAGTCAATTTAATTACGGGTATGAGCTATTGATGTAGCTGGGCTAAATTTTTAAGTTCTTTCTACCTTTTTAATCAGATAATTGTTTTACAAATTTAATTGTTTAATAAATTTTACGTAAATATAATTATAAAATTCTTAGGTTTTCACGATTGTTACAAATACATAGTGAAACTATTTTTGTGGTGCGGGCGCGGGTGCGGGCGCGTGTGCGGGCGCGGGTGCGGGCGCGGGTGCGGGCGCGGGTGCGGGCGCGGGTGCGGGCGCGGGTGCGGGCGCGGGTGCGAGTGCGGTTGGGGGGGCCCGCGCGGGTGCATCTAAATGAAATGTACGTAGACGTTCTCACTGCGTTCACAGTGGCAGGCAACGAGTGCCGCGCACGTAGATGTTGGCTCGGTCCGCCCGTACCTTTCACATGTTTCGACGTGTGGATCTATCCGCTCATAGCCGCTTCGGCACTAGGAAAGGGAAGACAACCACCCCCCAACACCCGCGTGCTCGCACCCGCCGCCGCGCCCGCGCCCACACTCTGAATGAGCTCTAAGTGAAAACCTCGTATACGCGTTTTCACATAGTTCGTTATTACTGATTTTTGTTGAAGAAAAACTTGCTTAGATATATTATTAAAGTAATATAGTATCTGAAAGAAATATAATTTAAATAATTAAAATGCTAATCACAAACAGTATTGCGTTTACTACATTTTACATCACACTTTTATCTTCCTCCTGAAAAATTACATAAAAATCACATACGAGGTATAAGTACGAGTTGTTTATATAAGGAAATAGTTAGTCATGTATTATATGTTACATTAGGCATGTGTATTTGTGTTTAAATTGTGTAGGTATCACAATAATTATCCATAAACTTTAATCGAATCTGTTTTTAATTATCATGTTACGCACCCTTGTTACCTCTTCTGTACCCAGCTCTCCGGTTGACTGATAGAGAATGCCTAATGACGTTAAGTCCGCCATTTGTACTATTTTATGTGCAATAAAGTTTTAATAAAAACTAATAATAATAACAATAATAAAACTTTCCACGTAGTCTAAATTCCATTAGCTAAGAAATCTAAACTATTATCTAGCTAGTTAAATATTTTCTCGTTTTTACTTCATCTTCACTGCGGCTACCCTATATAATTCACATAACAAAAAATGCGTTAATAAAAATAAAGTGTGATGTTTATTTGCGTTTTAGGAAGGATTATCGTTATCTGCAAAACGTGAGTTGAGTTTCAGAATATATTTCAAGGGGATTTCCAGTAAATCAAATCAGAAGTTTGGTAATCCTCTGGGAGTAGCGCTTAGTTTCTATTATTGGCTTCATGCCTTTGGGTATTCTTATATTGATATCAAAACAAAGAACCCTTAACAGCTTTTTGTTTGTATTTCCGAAACTTTAGCAATCTGAGGCTTTGTTTTTAATAAGTTATATTGAAATGGCATCGTTAGGAAATTATTGTTGAACTTTGTGTGGCAGTTAATGCCATAACGAATATCAAGTAATATGTGTTTCAGTATGCGGTATAAGTCTATCGGTGTGTATGAGATACTTCCCAATGATAGCTTCCCATTAGAGAAGGCTTTACCTATCTCTACATAAAAATGTAGAGAGTGTTATTGTAGGCCTTCTTTTTATGTAGAGAGAGGCATTATAGGCCTTCTCTAATGGGAAGCTATCATTGGGAAGTATCGCATACACACCGATAGGCTTACATTTATATGTAGAGAGAGGTAGTGTAGTTTTAAAACAAGCACATACATATTGCACACCGGCTTCAACGGTGACACAACTAAAAATATGGCAAACACGTTGTGGAACAAACTGACGGCTATGTTTTCGAATATAATTCGAATATCTCTACCATCCAAAAATTATCGATTCTGGACCATCCAGTCGGATCGAAGACATTTTTCTTTGTGTTTGTTCGATTTTTGTATTATTAATTATAACAAACTTGTAGAATATTATCACAAAAAAAAACATCATTTTAATAAAAACATCGTGATATTTAATAAAATAAATATCCTTCTGATCAGTAATCAAAAGTCTTTAGAGAATTTAATATTACAATATAGTTGTTTTTTTTTTTCGAAAAACGATGAAGATTCAGCATGCGCCTACAACAAAACTAAAAAAAAATATTATTTCTGCCTTGTAATATTGTTGAAGCCGATGTGCGAAATACTGAAAACTGAGAAATGAATTGCACTAGTGAAAAAGTGATAATTTTATCTAATTTATTTTTAAACGCATCTAATAACATCCGATGATCGCGTTAAAACTACTTAACCTATTACTTTATGCGAATTTCTAAAATATTATTTTAGTGGTAAAAGTTATATCTACGCACTTAAGGTGTTATGCCACGTCTTGTTTTTATACAAACACTTTTTCACATTGTTTTCCGTAGAAGGAGGCAACGCTAGCTTTATGTAACCATTATTTTGTACTGAAAAATATTCAGTATATTATAAAATGTTAGAAAGAAAATTAGCAATTAATTACCAGTAAGTATCAAGGGATCTTCTTTGTCCTGATGTACAAAGAACGCGATAATCGAAGCTAGGAGCACTACAACAGCGTTTCTTGCCACTCCAGCTAACCACAGAGTGCGTTGTATTATAACAGCTCTTCTACGCCCCTTTTCGCCTTCTGGATCTTTGATGTGAATGTCTTTTAAGGCCTGAAATTTTAAAGCGAGTAAACTAAATTACAATATAATGTACCCTAAATCATGCAGGTGAAATGTAGTTAACAGTAAATGGTAATATCTAAACCAAATACTGGGAATAATGGTATAATACAAATAATTTGAACACCTAATATACCTACACTTTATTTGCAGCTCATAAGATATTATGAGAATTAATTAAAACACTAGCTGTATCCAGCATACGTTGTAAACAGCCACTGAAAGGAAAACTGTCTGTGTGTGTCTCTTATCTGTGTAAAAGATAGTCTTAATACTAGTCTTAGAGGAAACTCGTACCCAACAATGGAATATAATACTTTCGAGACTTTTGCGGGTATGGACACAACAACTAACGAAAGCTTTAAAGCGCCAACGAATGAATAATACTGGAACGCACTCCGAACAAACTTAGATAGAAATTAAATAGAAATTATAGGTTTTTGTCAAGATATGTAGTATAGAATAGTAAGTATAGGAAGATTATCTGTCTTGTTATAAATAAATCTTTTGTATAATTAGAATATTGTATAATTAGAATGCTTTAATACAACTGTAAAACCATCAACTTGGCTCAAACATTCGTGAAAAAAATATTGAGTAAATAATTTCTTTCCCTAATGCCCCCTAAATGAGAACGATGCGATAAGAGAGATGCTCAAAATGGTGGAATAATAACGAAATAACGAGACATTCGTTGTTTTAAAGCAATTTTCCTACGTCTGTAGCGACAAATTTAGTTACGTAAATACTAATGGAGGCAGCCTTTGTCTGAGCTAGTAAATACGTGTGTAGGTATATATACATATAATAACGTGTTTTGATTTTGACACTAGATAATTCTATCTACGAATAATATGGAGGCGACGTATTAGTGTAACGGAGTAATTCTAATGGAGCACTTTCATATTAAAGGCACTCAAGAGTAAAGTGAGTTACAGAATTTATTTACATAGTGGATAATCGAACGGAAATGTAATTTGGATACAAATGTAACACGTCTCCATAAAATGTATTGTTTTATCTGAATTTTGTAAGAAAACTCGTACACACATAATTTACCTATGTTTTTTTTTTGCTTTTTTTATTTATAAACATAACAGAGTACACACATATTTCTAATAACTACTAAATACATTAAAAATAGTGATATTTAACTTTTTGTTAAATTTGACCAACTTCTGTCTCGATTATTTTCTTCCAATGCAATAAAATCATTATTATAAGAAACTGAGTACATCAGCATTAAAAAAAATTGACAATTTTATTCCTTTTGTGTGAAAAATCATTTTATGAAATTTGACTAACTTCGGCTTGACCGATTTTTTTCGTCGCATACAATGAAATGATCTCTTCATGAAACAGCCGATTAGTACTAAAAAAATTTGATCAATTTTATTCATTTATATGGACAACTCGCGCTTGACCAAAAAATTGATTATGCCAAAATTGTTATCACAGAAAAGACTTAATGGTTCCTAGGACAGTTTAATTGTATCTTCTATGGTTTCGGATTTCCCATACCGTCGCATTTTAAAAAACACTACATAATTAATATCATAAACAACAAATTTTGTTCCATGACTTGATAATTTATCACATTTTACTTTCGTACAAAAATTTTAATATTTATAGAACACCGATAATTCTGTGTTAATTTAAAAATTTATGTTTTGTAAAAAGTCATGGAACAAAAAATATTAGAAGGATATAAGATATTAGTAATATAGTCCTGCAAGGTTGTTGGTATTTTACGAATAAGCATGTAGTTGGAAATATTTAAGGGTGAGACCAGTCGAGCGTAATTTTGTGACTTGCGTTTTTTGAGTTTGACACTGCGCTCGACCGAAATTCGGTTGGAGCGCCAGACGAACGTACTTTATTCTGTTGCTTTTAAGCGTTTATACGGGTGTTTATGTCTTAATAGTGTAATGGATCCATTAAAAATATTAGAAGAAAAGCATTAGAAGACGTTGTTAGAAAAAGAAGCTGCGTATTACATCCACTCAATATGAAACGATTAAAATGTGGGCAGTTTCTTATATTATATACAAGTTTATGTGAACATCCAGATCAATTTGTTAAGTACTACCACATGCCAATAAATATTTTTCAAGAATTATTAACACTAGTAAAACCTTTCATTACTAAGTCAGATACAAATATAAGACAAGCCATCAGTCCAAAGGAAAGAGTAATAATAACAGCCAAGTAAGTTCAATAATTTATATTTTAATCTCCGTATCGAACATTTTCGCAAGAAATATCTTTACTCACGCGCATCCTACACCAAAGTAACCTCTTCCCTCACCCCTACCTCCACCCGCGCCAGCCCATCACACGATGCGACCGAAAGTCAGTCGTCATTACGTCATTAATTTTATATGAAACCGAATGCAGCTCAAACTACGCAACTCAAACTACGTAACTCACAATATTACACTCGTCTGGCCTCACACTTAATACAGGCAAAACATAGAGCCATTTTAAGATATCTACAAACTGTGTACATAGCATTGGCGAACGCTGAACCAGTAACTGGTTGACCACAAGACAGGAAGTTACTAATTTATACCGAAATGTTTAGTGCAAAATCAAGTTCTAGCAAAACGTTGGCAACAAGTTTGTTAACGCTTTAGTTTTTGCATTTGAAGGTTAAAAGAAAATGTCAATTTTAGTACTCTTGACTATAGATATTTGTTTTATTTTTCAGAAACTGATGAACAGGTCGAGTTGGCGTTTCCTTTAGTTGAGGGTACTAAATATGAAGTAATTTTTTTTAAATAGTCAGTTTTTAACCGGCTTCAAAAAAAGTTCTCAAGATGACTGTATGTTTTTTGTATCTACCTATGTTATGCGATAACTACGGCTTTGTTAAACGATTTCGATAATTATTTTTTTGTTGGAAAGAGGGTACCTCAGTGGTGGTCCTATTTAAATTTGAAGAAAGTATTATATATCTAAGGGTAACAAACTAGGGGATGAATGACTTTTGAGGTCGGTATAAAATGTATGCCTGTAATTTACAAAAGAAACGTCGGGCACCCAGTTGCAAAGTGGATCGACGATATGGTACGCGTCGCGGGGCGTCGATGTACGCGGCTAGCACAGAACCGTGGTGGATGGTACAAACTTCGGGAGGCCTATACCCAGCAGTAGGTGAAATCAGGGTATGGATGATGATGACGATGATCTAAATCACACTAAAGGAGGCGGTCCCGAGTTCGATTTCCGTTACGCTGTTTACATTTCCGTTATTCCTTACTTTTAGATCAGGTGGGTAATTCAGGTTCCGATTGTCTGACATATCATATTGTTTTCATAATATAATTTTATTGTAGCAGATATAAGGCGTTATTAAACAGATAGCTCTCAGTTTGTCATCATCATGATGAGCCAACATCAACCCACTACTGGGTGTAGCCCTCTTCTTTTTTGCGCCAAGTTTTACTTTCTGGACTGTTTTGGTCCACCGTCGGTCCGTCCCGCCCATCTCCACCTTAACTTCGTGATGCGGTTACCTATGTCACCGAACTTTGATGTTCGTCGAATTCTACATCTGATACCCGATCCACGAGAGAAATACCCAGCATATGGCACTCCATTACTCTTTGTGCCACCTTAATTTTGTGCATATTTTGCTTAGTGAACGTTCAATTAAATTTGTACTTAGATACAATAAAAGTGCTATTTTATTTCATAAACTAATTCGCACCCGTGGTGCAGCAAGGTCACATCTGCAAAATTAAAACTTTTCAGAACAGAAACGAAATTAGTCGATAAATTATTATGCTTAAGAAAATTATACATAATTATTGTCATGTAATTCGTATTATTTTTTTTACGTGATGAAAGCATTCTTGAAGTATGATCACATGTGTCTTTGTTATTTATGTTCATATTTTGTTATTTACCAGAGGAATATTGTCACTTCTCTCTGATACTAATGTTGCAGGAAATAAATAAAAGTTAATTAACTGCCTCCGTGACAGGCTGGTTACCATGCTGGTCTGCCACGCAGAGGTACGGGTTCTATTCCCGGGTCGGGAGAAATATTTTTGTGACCTACATTTATTTCTCTCGTGAGTTTGGGTGTAATTTGTGGTGTTCTATTTGTATATCCTTAGTGCGTGACTATGTGACTTATTTATATATTTATTTATTTACCCAATAATAGTAGAGAAATAATCAATTTACTGCTCTCTGATACTAATATTACATGAAAGAAATGAAATGTACTCACCTTCATACCGATAAGTGTTATGCAGCACACTAAACTCAGAAGCGTGTCTTGTAATCGAGTTTCTAATATGTGCTTGAAGACACCTTCCCAAGTTCCCAAAAAGGATTCCGCACTAAACTTAAGTCCGAGAAGACCTTTGATTTGGGAGGACGCAATGGTGATAGCTGCAGCCGATGTAAAGCCTGATACTACAGGAAGGGATACGAACTCAACAAGGAAACCTGCAAATGAAATGTAGAACCATAAGAAATTAAAATATTTTTCCGGACCTCAATCGCATATATTTGTCCCTTTCACGTCGGTTCTGGTCACGGTAGATCATGGGGCCTGTAAAGGGCCCGAAAGGCGGTTTGTTTGAAAATACAAATGTGCGCGATTTAGATTCGAAAAATATTTTAATTTCCTATATGTAACAATCGCGAAAACTTAATAATTCGATATATAGAACCATTTTACAACAACGCAATACAACAACGCCTTCAGGACGCTGTTGGGGCTGTTACGTTTCTGCAGTGCCTCAGCCATGTTCACTGACGCGCGCGTAGATAGTTTTACGGCTGTTGTACGTAAAAAGTCGGCGTCGCTACTGAAGAGAATACGTGACAGTCCCAATAGCCTCCTGAAGACAGTTGCTGACAGGAATGAGTGCCCAATTATGCGGCACTTAATGCATAATACAAAGTCCCTGGTAAAATATAAGTACTAATATAGTTTTAAGTCTGTACCTACTAACATTTGATTGGATCTCTGTTGTCAGTGTGTAGTATTATTTATTATACATAGAAATATCAGGATTTTCTAACAGAAATTTATAAAAGATCTGCAAAACCAACCGGTATTGATCTCTAGCTACATTACTTGGAAACGTAGATAAATACAAGAATGAATTATTTCAGATTCAAATTCAGATAAATACTAAAATTTTGCACCGCACAAAAGGAGAAGAACTTTCTCGATCAGTTGGTTCATAATCAAGTAACGAACAAGAAAACAAAGTAGACCAAAGATACAATGATATTTGTAGAACATAAATTAAACAAACATACAAGTTATATAATATGTTTCACAACAGTATCTCGTACAGGAATGTACATATTGTAGAAATACGATTGTTAAAATTGTTGTTACTCGGATTGAATATCCTACAAATGCGTACAGCAATCATATACAAAGGGCAATTTAGTATACAATACATTTATAACAATACTCAGTTATAGTTTATAGTATCTGTAGCCATAAGCATAACATTCGTAAACCTTTATTATACAGTCACATTAGATTTTGTTAATTATTATGTAGTAGGAAATATCCATACCGAGTTCCTAGGTTTTCGCGATTATTACCCATTGGTAAAAAACTTCTTTTTTGCAGATGTAAATCGCGTTGTTTTTCAATCAAACCAACGCTTCCAGCACATTACGGATACGGCTGACATGATCACATGGACCAAATAATTTCATTTCTAAGTCATTATGCATATGAAAGGTACACAAATTATGTGTGTAACAAATGACGAGCGCGACTATGTTTCTCTGCAAATACGTTCAAAATTTGTCTCTATAGAGAAGAATTATTCGTATCACCTTGAGACAGACTTGTCCACTAAATTTTTGTTGACGAAAAATGTTATGAAAAATCCTTACCCAACTGAACGGTGCCAGCGACCAATTGCACGATGCCACCGATGAAACAGAGCAACACTGCAAAATCGGGGTTCGTCCCGTTTGTGTATGTGAATGTCATTAGAGAGAGTAACGCGGTTGGTCCAATGTTGATTTGGGGACATGTTCCCATTACACCGTACACAAACCCTCCAATGAAAGATGCGTAGAGGCCATACTGTTAATAATAAAAACAAAATTACGCTTCCGATCTAATAAATACAATAAGCAAGGAGCTGAGTTTTATCATGGACCTATAACTCAAGAGGACTGCTGATCTTTCCGAATTGAATTCCATCTTATTTCTAGATGGCGCTAATCAATAACCTGGAAGTAGTTCATATTATGTGAATAGAAGTGGATATCAATTATTTCCTCATAAGAAGTTAGTTTTTTCCTTGTAATATTCAAATTCATGAGGTAAAATTATTTAAACTTCAACAAATATGCGTATCAATAGATGGCATAGTGTGTTACAAACTAATATAGAAATTACTTAAAATATTTAATTAATAAGAAACCAATTTTGAGCAAGGATATTGGTACGGAAACGCTTAAAGCGAGAATTGAAAGCATTAAATGTTACAGTTATCGCCGCTTCAACTTGCTGTCTACAAATACTGTAAGTTAATTATTTTCCCATATTATTGTTCCGAACCAATGTCCATATTTCATATACCAATGGCAAAAACAAACTAAAAGTTTCACCATTTTTAAAACAGAGACTGTATTCGCACTTTCCATCAGGCGCGGTGCAGTCATTTTGCCGAGTCACAATAATAAAAAAAAAATAAAAAAAAAAACCATGAATAATCTACCACATACCTATCGAATAGTCATGTTTCACGCATTATTCAACTGCGGAGTTTTCTCATTATTTTTAACACTTTTACGTTAAAAGGTTTAAAAATTATTCGAATAAGTTAACTAATACGAAAATCTTCTGCTCTCACTATTATGTTAATAGTATGTACGCACGGTTTATATTGTGAACCTATCCTAAATTAAAATGACGAAAATCCAAATGTTAAATTTTGGGGACACCGACAAAATAAATAAAAAAATCACGGAATGTTCATATCAAACTGTTATTATGTTTATTATCAATCTAATGGCGTGTACATACGTCTTGTGCCACGTATGTATTTTATTTTTAACCAACTTGAAAAAAGGAGAGGTTCTCAATTCAACTGTTTTTTTGTATGTATGTGACGCGATAACTCCGGCGGCATTTGTGAACTGATTTTGACGATTCTATTTGTGTTGAGAAGAGGGTACCTCAGTAGTGGTCCCATTTAAATTTGAAGAAATATTCCACCTCTAAGGGTGGCAACTAGGAGACTACTAGAACAGGGGAAACTAGGGAATTCGGTTTCGCGCACTTTCCAGTAACCGATTTCAATAAAACTTGGGAAATAGATGTAATTCCACGAACTTTTGAGGTCGGTTTTTTAGTACTCTGTATTGAGATTATTTTTATTCTATTTCCCAAAACTTACTTTTCTAATTCCGTTACTTTTTTATTGGTGGTACGATGTGTACGATGTACGATGTGTGTGTACGACACGTCGAAAATATAGTCGACCAACTCATCCCGTCGAGAAAAAGTTTGGCAATAACTAATAGAATGTTACTTGAACTATTTTAATTTCTTGTGAATATTCTTGTTATTTTGAGCTGCGTTGTATTATTTTCGGTTAAATTATGTATTTTTTTAATTTTGTCCAGTGTGTACTAATATTCAGGTATGTTTATTTATGTTCTATAGAAATTAAACTGAATATTAACAACTCGACACGCCTATTCAACATTATTCGAGGGGCGAACTCTATTAATGTATTATTTGTTGAGTTGATTTTAGTTAATACGATTATATAATAGTACTTCAGGTTTCTCACAGCTGGTGCGACTGCAAAACAGCCGTTAAAAACCAAAAACAAAGATCTGCAACAAGTATATAGAAAAGTTGCTAAGTTCTACTGGTTCGTTCGGTAGCTGAGTTGGAAGAGCGTCAGCCACGGTATGGTGAAGGCGCTGGTTCGAATCCAGCCAGATCGAATAAGCTTTTCTGTCTTCGGTCTTTGTATTAATATTAAATAAACTAGTGGAGTAGCAAAACATCGTGTTATGCAACAAAACCTAATAATATTATGATAATACTTATTAAAATATGTGATACTACAGTCGATACAATTATATTTTCGATCGATCGTGTCCTATCACTGGTTCATAAAGTCTCACATATGTCATTCAAGCAACATTCGCCCGTTGATTAACCTATATTACCTCATTCATACTACACAAAATCAATTTGTAGACGTAAAACAATATATCCACATAGGAATCGTGAATATAAAGCACGGAAACTGAAAATATTATTCTCAAATTAATGCATATTGTCACAATGTCTTTGATGTTATTCTATGCCATCAGCAATATTCGTGGTAATACATAACGATATGATTAATTCAAGTGTTACACGTGTTGTACGTGGGTTACGCGGTTCGTAATATATAACAACATATTAAATATTTTTAGTCGATATAACGTTCAACAGATATAATTAATTTATGGTATACAGACATTTGACATATTCTTGCATGATATAAAGGTCACTGGGTATAATAGACGATTGATATAACAACTTTCAATACCGATGGCATAATGTTCATTTTATATAAAAACTTCAAATAGAACATTCACTGATTATAATGTATATTATTAATATAATTCCTGTGGTGTTTAGGTGCAATGGTGAATGAACCGAATTTGTTTGCATTTCCTAGTTGGTTCGACCTCCTCCTGTGGGTTTAGGTTAGGTTAGTATATGACAAAGCTGCACGAGTCGAGCGAGCGCAGAGAACGTGCCGCGGCAGCGGCCGTAGATTGCCAGAACCGAATTTGTTTGCATTTGCTAGGTGGTACGACCTCTTCACGATCTCTTCCTGTAGGTTTAGGTTAGGTTGGTATATAACAAAGTGCCAGAACCAAATTTGTTTGCATTTGCTAGTTGGTTCGACCTCCTCCCGTGGGTTTAGGTTAGGCTAGTATATGATAAAGCTGCACGAGCCGAGCGAGCGCAGAGAACGTGCCGCGGCAGCGGCCGTAGATTGTCAGAACTGAATTAGTTTGCATTTACTAGTTGATTCGACCTCGTCCTGTGGGTTTAGGTTAGATTGTAGGTACATTTAATGAAATAAAAAAAATCTTATTAACATTACTTAGTAACATAGGTACAGTAGTAATACAAAGTAAATATAGGGCGCTTAAACTATGCGTAAAATGAAATATTGTGTTGTATTATTGAATACATTATACTGGTAGTACTTATACCATTTGTTCATTATGTCACTTAGTCATTATACCTAATGTTTGTTATACTGCTTTATTATACACATTGAAATGATGCCTTTTGTTGATATACAGTGAGTGATTATTGAATGAAATTATATCAAATGTTGTTATACAAAGTGAAAATAGATTATTTATTGTTATATCTTCCATAACATACCCGTTGTACGTACCCACTTTTTATATGGATATAATTGTTTCTAAAAAAAACAATAAATTTAAAAAGTACAATAACGAATGAACTAAATACATAAATATTATTGACAAGAAAGACCTTAATGAGTTTCATTAATTAACGTTCGCTGCAAGTAAAAAAATATGAATGAAATGAATATGATATGAACAAAAAAAGTATGAGTTCATCAGTACAATTTCGAAGTAAATTCTTTCAGCGTTTGTAAATATTTTTATTTAAATAACAACTCGTCTTCAACTGGCGCCGTTTTTGCAAAACAAAGTGCTAATTGCTCCTTGTACAAGTGACCTTTTCCTCGTATATTAAGTTACCTGTTACTCTTCTATTTGTCTCCTTTCGATTTATTTGTCTTATACTTTATTTTTACTCATTGTTGTTACAATTAAACACAGAATAACAAACTAGTGGAAATGATATCAAAACCGGTGCCGCCATACGCACACACTTGAGGACTAATCTTACATTACACTGATAATCTTAATTGGACATAATCAACGTCCTTTTGAAAAAAAATGAAACTTATTTGAATCCAATAAGGTTTACTACTACCATGGACTTATAACTCAAAAGGAATGCTAATTTCGTCGTAAATTCAGGTCGTAATTGTCAAAAAGGTTCAAAATTACGTCTTATATCTAGACGGCGCTGTCAAGGCGCGACAGATCAATAGCCTAGTATAATAGTTAGTATAATAGTTAATTATCACGTAAATGGCCGTGGATTGCAATTAATTCCTCTTTAATACGAAATATAAGAAGTGAATTTTTAATTTATTAATTTTATACAAATATTGACCATGAACTAAAATTATTTTCTGAACTTAGACAAATACCTATACGTGTCAATCTTAGAGGATGGAAAAAAATAAAGGACGTGTCAATAGATGAGTGTCAAAGCTTCTTAGATTGTGTGTTACAAATTAATTTATAAATTAATGCTTGCTAGTGTGGGTAGGTGTCTCTAATCCTAAACAATTTAAAAGAAAAGCCGACGGTATCCATGAAAAATCTGTGCAATAAGCGCCATCTACATTTACCACTAGAAATGAGAGTAACTTTGATAAACTCTTCTTCGTGGTTTGTCAATGTAAAACAAATTAGTTACAAAAATAGCTATTTGGTATACTCATCACAAAATTAAGATTTAAATTCAACTCTATGCCGATTACGATAAGAATGATCCAAAGTACAAAGTGTCAAGCTTGACGTGCACTGTACCAATAGGTACTAAATACCCGACTACTTACCGCGATTAACAGCCTTATTGAATTATTGGTTCATTGGTTACTAATGTCAAAACCACGGAAAAAAAACAACAATGGAAGTGGCCTAAGCGTGCATTACTATCGAAACAGCTGCTGTCGCCAAAACGCACACAAACAAATGATAAACACTACGGAATCTTGATAATGATTGGTCATAGTTTCTAATTTAAAAAGGTGTAACAAATCGAGTTCAGTTTTCGCGATTGCTACACACGGGAAATGAAACAAATAAAATGTTTTATTTGTTCATTTTACATAGCGTAAGTTAGAGGCTGATGTTTCCTTTTAGGCTTGATGGGGCCTGTGTCTAATGAACTGTTTGGCTTAGAAGTTCCGTTACTCAACAATAGATGGCACAATGATTCAGTAGTTCTTATGTAACTGACTTAAAGCTAGGAATCCTATAGCGTGGAACATTATAGGTCTCGATCTATCGGATCGTAGTAGAATATTGGACTTTAATATAAACCATAAATCACTCAAAATATTTTTGGTTTAAAGGTTGTTTATGATATATATATGTATATA